AAATATATTGTATATTGTTAGTTGTTATATGAGAAGAAATATACGTAGGTCATAAAAATGGGCTCCAGGTGGGTAGGTGCACTGTAATATTTGTATTTGTATACTGTTTTTTATTTGGATTTATATGTGTTATGTTTGTATTATTTGTATTTGAATAAAATTAATTAAAAAAAAAGACTTTAGTATTTCCCAGACATGCAAGGACGAAGGGGAAAAGTTGGGACAAGGTCTCTCTCCATCATCCATGGTGAGAGAATCCTTCACAAGTGCATTCTCTCTTCCGGAAGGATGCTTTGATTCCCACAATAGAGGAATGGTGGCCAAAGTTGATGGAGTTAGCAGAGTTGACTAAACTGACTGCTTTGATTAAAGAAAAGAATACAATTAGTTTTGTTCCTGCCTGGAAACCGCTTCTGGACTTTGTGCTTGAGATGGGGGAAAAAAATGAAACTTTGGTTTTGGGTTTTGCTGATTAGATAGGTTTGTCGTTGTAGAAATGGGTAGTGTGTATTATTATGTAAAAGTAAAAAAAAATTGAGGTTGTATATTATTACCTTATTCCACTGAGCTAAAAAGAGTTGGAAGTCACTGAAGACAGTTTTGCTTCTCATCCAAGAAGCTTCTTCAGTTCTGACTGAATGGTGGAGGATGGAAGGATTTGTGCGCCTTGCCGTCATCTGGTTGCTGGAACTCTTTGCCAGAAAGGAATATAAATCTTTCCTGCCAGGAATTTAAATCCTTCCATTCTCCGCCATTCAGCCAGAACTGAAGAAGCTTCTTGGATGAGAAGTGAAAAGCCTTCAAGGAAAAATCAAGAAAGTCCAATTGCCTCTTGGAAAAAGCATCTTTGGTCCAGCCATGACCTGGATGATGGAGAATCTCCATAGACATTTTCACTTTTACTCTACAGATTTTTCTTCTTCCTCTTCTCCCTCTCCTGCTTTCCTAATTATTTTCATTTCTCTTTGCATTTCTACATGTTATATTTCGATAAACTGACAACGTATTTCCTCTCTTCCCAGGGGTCTCTATCTCGCCTCCATTTTCTACAAGGATGACAATATTCTGGTGACCCCCGAAGACCAGATCCCGGTGGTGGAGATTGATGACACCTATTCCTGCTTGCTTATGCAGGATTTCCTCTGGTTCACCAAGGTGAGCCCCTTTTTAAATTTTAACGGTTTTAGCCATGTGTGCCACGATCGGATCGGTAAGCCCTTTGTGGCACAGCTTCCCAGAGGGAAGACTCTGTGTTCAGACCTATCTGCCTTTGGAACCAGATTTTCCTGCTTCAATTAACATCTGGCGTCGTGAAGTGTCGCCACCCCTCACCCTGGCTTTAGGCATTCTTCACCTAAATTCGCTCCATATGTTAATTAAGGCTCTTGACTTGATATAATGCCCTGCTTGATGTATAATGACTGTTTTTAGCAGGTTTTTAATTTGCTGCTTTTAGGGGGTTTTAATTGGCTGTTATTGAAGAGTTTAGCGATAGCGTTTCTTTCTCTTCATCCGAGGAGGTGCAGTGAAGTGTCACCTTCCGAAATAGCCTCTTTTGAATCTTCCTATCAATACGGCTTTTTATATATATATATAAAGCATCTCCTTGGCAGAAAAAGGGGACAGGAGATGTTTGACAAAGTTGATCTCGGTTTGGGGTAGGTGTCCAACCTGCGGACGAGCCTGAAAACCTTAGCCTGATTGGTGCGCACCCTTTTTGTTGTGTTTGCCGTAGGTGTCATGCATGTGGGATGAAATCATGTGGCTGCGACAGTGCGTTTCCGTCTCCCAGTCTTCCTGTTCATGCGTTCTCCAAACGCGCTTCAAGATGCTGCTGGCCATCTCACAGATGCAGGTAAAAACGGCATCTTCCAAAGATTTTAGGACACACCTGTCCAGCGCATACAGGTTGTCCTTGACCAACGACCGTCGTTGGGAATCAGAATTTCCGTTGCTAAGCAAGGCAATTGTTAAGTAAGTCATGCCTGGTTTTATGACACTTTTTTTTTGCTGCGGTCGTTCAGCGAATCCCATCGTCATTAAGCAGATCCAAGTTAAGCTCTTTGGCTGCAACATCTTAAAAAGTGTGAAAAATGTCCATTTTACAGGTAGCCCAACTTATCAACCACAATGGAACCCAACCGTTCTGTGGCTAAAACAGAAGCATTTGTTAAGTGAGTAGTGTAGTTGTTAAATTAGTAACGTGGCTGTTAAGAGAATCTGGCTTCCACACTGACTTTGCTTGTCAGAAGCTCGCAGAAGGGGATCATGTGACCCCCGGGACATTACAACTGTCATAAGTACGAGTCAGTTGCCCAGCGTCCGAATTTTGATCACATGGCCTTGAGGATGCTGCAATGGTCATAAGTGTAAAAAACGGTCGTAAGTCACTTTTTCCCATGCCGTCGTACAAGTCAAGAACCACCTGTACATAGTAAAGAATGGTGTCATTTTCTTACCAAGGAAAACATGAAACATCCACCTAGATCAGGGGTCTTCAAACTCAGCCCTTTTATGACTCATGGACTTCAACTCCCAGAATTCCTCAGCCAGGCATGCTGGCTGAGGAATTCTGGGAGTTGAAGTCCACGAGTCATAAAAGAGCCGAGTCTGAAGACCCCTGACCTAGATAATTACACCCCCAACTGCATTGCGCGCCTGCAAACCTGTAGTAGATACACCATCTGAGGCTGTCACCTCTCTCTCGGTTGCTCTGTAGGGTCTGCTAGGAATCCAAGACCTGGGTCAGGTGTTCTTCGAACCCATCAAAGACAAGCAGGGGAACATTTTGGTGGTCACCCTAAAAGAAGTGAAGACCACCCAGACTTTTGAGAGCGTTCGCTGGGTCCCTCTCTCGAAGCTGCAGACCACTCGCAAGTCAATTTCTTCCCCCGAAGAACCTACAGCTCTGGATGTCCTTCTCATGACCATGCAGGTAACTCATTCGGCCTTCTGAGCAGAAAAGACAAGGTCCTCCTTCAGTTATTGGGGGGGGGGGATATCACTTTTAATGTGGCATGTCTCAATCTTGGCAGCTTGAAGATAGGTGGACTTCAACTCCCAGAATGCTGCAGGCAGCAAAGCTGGGGAATTCTGGGAGTTGAATTCCACCCCTCTTCAAGCTGCCAAGATTTAGAAATACTGCTTTAATGGCAGAAGAAATGATTTATACAGAGGCTGTCACAGATCCGGAGTATCTCCAGGTAGGTTTTCTCTGCTAGGATGCACTAGAGGAGACCTCGAGCTTGGATTTTGGTAAGATGCTTCCAGTCTAATCAGAAAATACACTGAATGTTTAACAAGCTGCTCACAGTTACCCTGTGCTAAGATGAGTGCCCAACACTGGTATATAATTAAGCCAGTAAGTAAATAAGTAAAATACCAGTGGCCAGACAGAATTCAATGGCTAATAAATTTGATTGATAGATAGATAGATAGATAGATAGATAGATAGATAGATAGATAGATAGATAGATAGATAGATAGATAGATAGATAG